TGGAACTTAATTTGTGAACCAGAACCAGGCAAGCCTTAAATACAGTTCACAGAGATATGCCTGCCTTTTCCTCCCCAGTGTTGGGACTAAAGTCCTGTGCCACCATGCCTGGCATTCAGTGGGGTGGGCCTTAAGACAGAATCTCATGTGGCTTAGGTTGTGCTTGAACTGATTAACTTCACTGTGTAGCTGAGGATGGCTTTGAATTCCTGCTCCTCCTGCCTGTCTCGTGAGTGCTAAGATTGTGTGTGGGCCATCACAGCTAACTGACATCTGATCTTTCTTCTGGTCTGTTCTCTAGGGAATGGTTCCCTTCATATTTGTTGGCACCCGAGAGAACATCAGCAACGCCCAGGCACTGTTAGAGTACCACCTCTCCTACCTGCAGGTACCCGTGTTTGAGTCATGTCAGACAAACTGGGCTAACAAGGGGGAAGACCATTGGGGCTGTCCTACCTAGTGTGTCTTTTGATATTTTGGCTCTGGGACTGTGTCCTATTCTTTTTACTCGTTTGTCTTGTAGTCCCATATGGGTACAAAAGTAAGAAGGAAGTGGACTATCGTCCATTTTAATTCTCCGTGTTGTCTGTCTGCTTTCCAACCAGGAGGTTGAACAGCTGCGCTTGGAGAGACTGCAAATTGATGAACAACTTCGGCAGATCGGGCTGGGCTTTCGTCCTCCTGGGAGTGGACGGGGTGGTGGTGGCAGTGACAAAGCTGGCTATACCACAGATGAAAGCTCCTCCTCTTCCCTGCACACAACCCGAACATATGGGGGCAGCTATGGGGGCCGGGGCCGGGGCCGCAGGACTGGTGGTCCTGCCTATGGTGAGACGGCTGTGGGGGCGGTGGAGGAGGTGGATGTCTGGGTGGAGACTGGGGAAGGAGTGGCATGGGTGCTTGTGAGTGATAGGAAGAACTCTAGATTGGAGGGAGAGGTGGAGCTCCTAGGGCAAGGGCCAGTGGCTCTAATTCAACCCTTCTGTGCCCTTCAGGTCCCAGCTCAGACCCATCCACGGCTTCTGAGACGGAGTCAGAAAAGAGAGAAGAGCCTCATAGAGCAGCACCCAGTGACCGAGATCCCCCAAGCCGTGGAGAAGAGAGCAGGAGGCGGCCGATTGGGGGCCGGGGAAGGGGCCCTCCGCCTGTTCCTCGGCCTACCTCAAGATACAACTCATCGTCTATTAGCTCAGGTATCCCAGAGTTGGGGATCACATATATAGGCCCAAAGGAGAAAATAGTGGTCTCCTGACTCCAGTCCCTTTCCTTACTCCCAGTGCTTAAGGATCCAGACAGTAATCCTTATAGCCTATTGGACACATCTGAACCAGAGCCTCCAGTTGATTCAGAGCCTGGTGAACCCCCTCCAGCAAGCGCCCGCCGCCGCCGTTCCCGCCGCCGCCGTACTGATGAAGACAGGACAGTCATGGATGGAGGCCTAGAATCTGATGGTCCTAACATGACAGAGAATGGCCTGGGTGAGGGGCAAGCCTGGATTCCTAGAGGTGGTGTGAGAAAGAATGAAGACAGGCAGGATGAGTTGACTTTTCTTTATTCCACAGAAGATGAATCGAGACCCCAGCGACGTAATCGCAGCCGCCGCCGCCGCAATCGTGGTAATCGAACTGATGGGTCCATCAGTGGAGACCGCCAACCAGGTCAGCTGACACTAGGGGATTAGAGCCTTTCTGGAGCTAAGAGTGGGGTGCCATGCTCTAGGAAAGCCAGGGTTGGATTCAGTGGAGATGGATACCTGTGTTCCTGAAAGTCTTGATCTTTTGCCTTTCCTAGTGACTGTGGCAGACTACATCTCACGGGCAGAGTCTCAGAGTCGCCAGAGGCCACCTCTGGAACGCACGAAACCCTCAGAGGATTCACTTTCAGGACAGAAGGTAGGCAATCACAATATCCTAATCTTTTTTTTGATTTAGAGGCAGGGACATAGAAAACTTACCCAGGAAATACAGGAGTAGTTGAATTGGCTGTATCTGGGGGAGTTCAGGTTCAGCTGAGGATAGAGCAGAGCTGGCAGTAACAGAAGTTAATGTTCACAGTGACTAGAGCAAAGGAAGATAGGGAACATCCCCTGCTTTCCAAGTATGTCTGTAGTGAGAAAGAATGCCTACACCTGGTGTACTGATGAGCTGCTTTCTCTTTGTTTTCCTCCTTCCTTTTCAGGGTGACTCTGTCAGCAAGCTTCCCAAGGGCCCCTCGGAGAATGGGGAGCTCTCTGCCCCCTTGGAGTTGGGTAGTTTGGTGAATGGGGTTTCATAAAACCTCCAGTCCACATCCCTCCTTTCTCCATCTCGCTTGCTGCCCACCACCATGGCCCTTATGGGTCCAACTGACCTGCGCTGGAGCTGCTCTTATCTATGGGGGAGGGGGGTGGCACAGCAGCTTGGGTCCCCCCAACCTCCAGGAGCTAGTGGAGGGGTGTGTAACAGGGTCATACCCCCTCCCTCTTGTCCACCCTACCCCCAGGGTGAGGGGAGCCTCCCCTTCCCTATCAGACTGGATGTGCCTTTATCCTCTAATGCCCCGACCTCTGAACACCCCCATTCTCCGCCTGTTGGTGGGGGTGCTCCTTGATCCACCCAGATTTGACAGTTCAGGGGGGCTCCCCTGCTATCCCTCCTCCCATCCTGTACCCCCCATTTCTGGGGCCTCATCACTGTGGAAGACGGGGATAGTGAGGGTATTTGTGGGTGGGAGGCATGGGGAAGGTTTTGGAATAGAACCCGGGTGTGTATGAAGGGGGTGACAAGGTCCCCCAGGGAGTTGGGGAGAATAACCTTGTCTGGTGGATAAGAAGGCGTATTTATTTTTCACTGTACAGTATTTAAAAAGAGAATAAAAAAAAAAATCCAATGGCCTTGTGGTTCCCATGCTTTCTTTGACTCTAGTCAGGTCTGTTTGGACCTACACTATTCCCTGGCTTTTGTTCTCTATTCTTTATTAGCTTCTCATTCTGTTTCTGGAAGATGATACATGGAATTTGCTGCATACTTAATTCTCCATGCCCAGCTATTCTTCTAGTCCAGAGGACTAGACTAAAGCCTTGCTATTTCTTCCTTCCCCTTGATAGAGTTGGGCCACTCCTAAGCCCTGAGTCACAGAAGGCTAGGCAGGGCTGCTTGAAGCTGGACCTGTTCCTGCTAGGAGCTGAAAGTCTGGGCAGGCTATTTAATCGGATTATCTGGGGCCTGGGGCACAGGCTGGGCCTTCATCAGAGGGGAAAATAGGGTTCTTTCAGCATGGCCTCAAAATCTCAGGAGGGTCAGCATGTATTTCTGGCCTGGTGTTGCTCTGGCTCCAGAATCCACATCACTGACCTCAGCTTTTGGTGTCACAAGAATGATGAGCAAGTGACTATAATTGGGAGACTCCAAACCTAGGTTGGACAGTACGCTGAGGGTTGAAGGTAACCCTAAAGCTGGTGTCCTGAATGCCTTGTCAGAGAAGCCATGACCTTAAAATGGAAGGAACTTGGATCCATGGTGTTTCATGCCTTTAGTCCAGCACTTGGGAGGCACAGGCAAGCAGATCTCTGAGTTCCAGGATAGCCAAAGCTACACAGAGAAACCTTGTCTGGAAAAACAACAGGATGTATCAGGTACTCAGGAGGCAGTGGCAGATGAGTCTCTACGAGCTCAAGGCCAGCCTAGTATACATAAGGAGTCCCAGGCCAATCAATCATGGCTGTATGGTTCAGTCCTGTCCCAAATAATTACAATTTGTAAGGAAAGATACATCAAGGCAGTAAAAATTGCTAAGAAGGCCAAACAGTGGTGGTGCATACCTTCCTTTAAATCCCAGCACTCAGGAGTCAGAGGCAGGTGGGGTCTTTGTGAGTTCCAGGCCAGCCTGATGTACAGAGTGCGTTCTGGGACAGCCTAGGGGTACACAGAAAACCAGTCACAAAAAGACAACACGAAAATAAATAAAATAAATAAAAGAAGGTGAGGGTGCTCCCTGTGCCAACTCATGACCTGAGCTGGGCCACCAAAATACTGCCTCTGCACGTTGAGACCCCTGAAGGAGAATGGACTTCTGAAAGTTGTCTTTGACCTCTATGTTGCAAGTGGTAGCACTTGTGCCCCTCCCATAATATTTTTGAAAATACAAAGATTTCATTTTTTAAAAGAATGTATCCTTCACACCAATGCACATAAATACCTTATATGTATCTCTAGGTTCAGAGACCTTTGGCGCCCTCATGGTTTTGAGTTTAAAGATGAGTTAAATAAAGACTTGCCATAATTGAGTGGCAGTGGAGAAATCTCAGGGCTGGAAGTATTCTCATCCGCCCAGGCACCTGCTGGGATGACTCAGAAAACAAAAATGGCCTATCTCCTTTGAGTTTCTTATCCCTGGGGCAGGTCAGGATTTGAGGAACAACAGGCACCGGAAGCAAGTATTGAGTAGGGAGTAAGACCTTCCTAAATTCTCCCAGTTTGGTTGACCCTGAGGGCATTTGATGCCCAAGCTCGATTCCATCATGGAAAGGAATTTGCTTTAAATTGCTGGTGCTTGAGAAGATAGACAATTGTAGTCATTGGGGCCATTAGGCCTGACATCCAGACCTTGGGTGGAGAGGGGCGTGGTGCCCCAGGGGAGGTGTCTGGGCTGCAAAGAACAGGACACCTGGGTTTGCCAAGAAGTGTGTGCGAGAACTTTTTTTTTTTTTTGAAGGACGTTCATTTGCACAGCCCCTGGGAGGGATTGGGGGAGGAGTCAACTTTTAAAAGCTGTTTTACGGAGGCTGAGCACAGGTGGGGTTAGGTCTGTGGCACCTGGGTATGTTCTTGTCAGCTGTGGAAACTTTTGAAACCAAGAGCCTCAGAGAGACAGAGTTGCAGCCTCCACGGAAGAACCAGTCCAGCCGCAGCAGAGGGACTAGCAGTAGGTAGTCTTGAGAGAACACTACCTTTGCGGGACAGGGTGCCAGACAAGGATTTTGTATTCAGCTTTCCAGAGCAAAGGTATTGATTCAAAGACTCTGGAAGATACTTAAGTACCCAAAATTTCAGAGTCCAGTCTTCACTCTGGGAGGAGGGCATTCAAGACGCTTTACCCTCAACCCATGGCTCTGCCGGGCTCCTCACCGGCCCAGACTTGGAGCCTGGAGCCTCCGGTTCCCACAGCCTCTTTGCCTTTGGAACCTCAGGAGCAGGAGGGGCCTGGGAGCTCTGGAGCGTCTGGGAGACTTCCACTGGAGAAGGTGAAGCGGCCCATGAACGCCTTCATGGTGTGGAGCTCTGTTCAGCGCCGCCAGATGGCGCAGCAGAACCCCAAGATGCACAACTCAGAGATCTCGAAGCGCCTGGGCGCGCAGTGGAAGCTGCTGGGCGACGAAGAGAAGCGTCCCTTTGTGGAGGAGGCCAAGCGTCTAAGAGCCCGCCACCTACGCGACTACCCCGACTACAAGTACCGACCTCGGCGCAAGAGCAAGAACTCAAGCACCAGCTCTGTCCACTTCAGCCAAGGAAGAGGTGGCCTGGCAGGTGGTGGCCCACACTGGGGACCAGGGGACACAACCATCCAAGGGAGCAGGGGCTTTGGGTACCAGCCCCCCAACTATTCCACAGCCTATCTACCTGGCAGTTACACGTGAGTGCTTGATTGTCCCCCATCACCACCCCACATCACCCCTTCCTGGCAGCTGGGTGGGTGGGGATGGAGGCCAGAGGACTAAGTGGGAGAACCTCAATCCATCCAAGCAAAAGCCATACCAGGCTAAGGTTGGGTGGGAGCGCTCGGAGAATTCAAGACAGAGGTCTGTCCATCTCAGCCTAATGTATTCTACCTTCTGAATGTCAGTTTCCCTCTAGCTGATGGCCCTTGTGTGACCCGGCTTCCTCTCCCTGCCCCTGGGGCAAGGAGAGGCCAAGCCCATCCTGTAGCTCCTTCCTGGCCTGCAGCCCTAAGAAGCAAACAGCATGCAGCACGCAAGACAGCTCCTGAGCATGCCCCAACAAAGCTACCTTGCTCTTTAAGCCATCCTAGGGTCTTGTTCCATGCCTGCTGTACCCAGCATGGCTGGCTGAATAGCAAATTCTAACCCTGTCTGCTGCAAACTGGTCAGACCAGTCTCCTATTGAGAGTCGGGGACCCTGCCCAATCTCTCCAACCCAGAAGTGTAACCTCCAAACCCCATGTTTCTTTCTCTCTACAGCTCTTCCCATTGTAGACCGGAGGCCTCCTCGCCGTGCTCCCTCCCTCAGAGTGATCCTAGGCTCCAGCAGCAGCTAATGACCTCTTTTCCTACCTACCTATCCCCGGGCTCTACCACTCCATACAACACTTCCCTTGCTGGTGCCCAATGTCTGTAACCCACCTTTAACTGGCTGGGATATCCAGGGCCAGCCCCATAGACCAATCCCTTTCTAGTTCAGAGGCCTAAAAGTCTTCCAGGCTACACTAAACACAATTTTGTACAATTAAAGCACGTCTCTGAGTCTTTATTGTCCCATCTGTATTCTTATTACAGCAGCAACCCCATGCCTTCTCCACACCCTTCGTGGACCTGCCACAGCATGAACCTCCCTACCCCACCCTGAGGCCCTTACCTGAGTCATCCTCCCTCTCCCCCACCTCCAGAACTAGGGTCCAATAGATTGTCCTAGCCAGCTGGCAGAGGGAAGCAGCCATAAGTTCCCAACCGCATTTGTCCAGGCTCTGTCCTCCGTCCCAAAGGAAGGTAAGTGGACAAGGCAAGGCATCTGCTACAACAACAAAATAGCTGCTTATAAAGGAGGGGCCTCAGCCAATTGGTGAAACAGGACTTAGAAAAGCTTTACTATTTACACAAACCCTGGCTCAGGAGGTTGCAGTCATGCAGGAATGGAGGATGCTTGAGTTGAACCGGCAGACCCCATCATGTGGGGAGGACCTTCTAGTTGAGTGGATGAATGGAAGTGGAATGATTCTAGAAGCTAGCTCAGTACTATTGCTCCTTTTTATGTTTGTGGAGAGGCTTTGCATTCCAGTAGAAGAGGAGCTGGGCAGCAATGAGGCCATTGCAGAAGGAAGAAACCACAAAGACTCCAGCCATGAGGAGGTCTCCAGTTTCCTGTTACGAGACAACAGATCTAGAAAGGTTCCAGAGGGAGCAGCCGAATACTCAGTGGGAAGTATGAGGGTTTAGTGCCCTCTAGAGGGAGGGCAGAGGTGGACTCACCTGAACAGAAGTGAAGATTCTGGCTAAGGAGCCCCCAAACAGCATAAACACTGTGATAGCTGAAAGCTGGCCCGTGTGCCCATTGCGGTAGTTGGTGGCTGCCTGAAGCAACTAGAGAAATGCACACTTCTGGTTCTGTCATCTGAACCTTCCTGTGTTCCCATCACTAATTCCCTCATTCTGGAAAACTAATACTCTACACTTTGAGGCCCCACCCTGCCTCTACCACACAGCCTCCCACTTCCGAGTACCCACCTTCCCCACCACCACAGCAGGGACATTGGAGGCCTGGAGCAGGGTGACTACAGCCAAAGGTGTGAGTGGGGAGAGCAGCGCCAGCAGGAGCATCGCATAGCAGGCAAGGAAAGCCACTCCTGGGGGTCAGGGAGACAAGGAGCCCTTTTGAGCCTGAGTCCCCAATAAGATTCCCCACATCCAATGCCTGCTCTCCAGCAAATCCCCGGCACCTTTCACGGTCTGTCCTCTGTAGTGCATGACCAGGAAGCAGATGGTAATTGTCTGGAGTGTCAGGAACAGTGCTTCACCCCAAGAGCTGCAGAGTCAGGGGGAGGAGAAATGGAGGCCTGGAAAGAGGCAGGGAAAGCCTCCATAGCCATTGTTAGGCCTGTGCTTCTCCAGCCCCCACCATGCCTGGCTCAGTTAGAGAATGCTCACTTTATCACCACGTCCATCGGTGTGACTAGACTGGAAGGGCTGCAGCGTTTGCTCTCAACCCTTGTTAGAGCTGTGGGCACTAGGGCTGGTGACGTAGCTCAGCAGGTAAAGGTGCTTGCCACCTCACTTCCAGCCACAGGGAACAATAAACAACTGTAGGGTCTGGCCTTGGGGACGCTGTGTGGGGCCCTCACCTGAAGGGGAAGCTGTTGACGATGCTGTAGACCACAGTCCCCGTCAATGCCACCAGGTCCAGCATTACTGACTGGAGACTCAGTCCTTCTGCACTCTTGGCTCCCAAGATTTTAAATATCTGGGGCAGCTTTACTGGAGGAAGATGGGCATGGCTGAGGAGGAAGCTTACAGTCCTGAGCTCTGGGCATTAGCCTCTCAATACCCCTTCCTTTACTCTGGCAGAGGGAAGGAACTATACATACCCAGAAGTGATCCAGCCACAATGCCCAGCCCAAGGCCTTTGCTGAGGAGAATCTTGAGGCAGGGAACTAAGAGAAGAAAGTAAGCAAAGAGGCTTTCAGAACCCAGGAGAGTGCCCTCCCTCCTCCTCCTTCTCCCCCCCCCTGCATGGCCACCACACTAGTGAGTCTCTGTTCAAGGGTCAGGCGGGAATGATGAGGCCCTAGAGACCCTTCTTGCTACAAACATGTTACATCCAGACTAGGTTTGTTGCCAAAATAGCTTCAACATGAATGCCTTCCTCCTGCTCAACCTTCCATTTCCTATAAACACACTGAGATAATATATTTTTTAGGGCTAGCAGGATAGTTATTGACCTGAGTTCAATCTAGGATCCACATGGAAGGAGAGAACCAATTCCAAAATGAGTTCTCTGACTTCCATGCATGAGCCTCCTAATAAAAATGTGCTAAAATTTTGTCTTTCTTAAAGAGTCAGTAGCGGGGACTGGAGAGATAGCTCAGAGGCTAAGAGCACTCATTGGGTGTTCTCACAGGGTTCTTGAGTTCAATTCCCAGCAAAAATATAAGTGGCTCACAACCATCTATGAGATTTGGTGCCCTCTGCTGGCGGCCAGGCAGAACACTGTATACGTAATACATTAAAAAAAAAAGTCCTTAGGGCTATATGTCGTGGTACATGCCTTTAATTTCATTTAAACTCTGGGTTCAAGGCCAGCCAGGATTATATAGTGAGACTGTCTTAAATATTTAAAAACTATTTCCAGGTGTGGTGGCACAAGCCCAGACAGACAGATCTCAGTGAGTTCAAAGCCAGGGCAATGTAGAGAAATCCTACCTCAAAAAGTAAACATTAAGTGGATGATAAAACAGCTCAGTGGTTAAAAGCATTGACTGCTCTTCCAGAGGACCCGGCTTCAATTCCCAGCACACATATGGAGTTCACAACTGTAACTCCAGTTCTATGGGATCTGGCACCCTCACACATGCAGGCAAAACAAAACACCAGTGCACATACAACAGACAAAAATTTATTGTGCCAGCAAGATGGCTCTGCCACGAAGCCTGATAACCTGAGCATGTATAAGTAGATGTGCACAACAAACACAACGAAAATAAATTTTAAAAATATGGGGCTGAAACAACTGAGCTCAACCCTCAGATTCACAAAGTGGAAGGAACCTGAGGCCAACATGTTGTCCTCTGACCTTCACACAAGGGTGTGGCTTGCCACTGGATCCAACTCCTGGGGTCTTGCTGAAGAAAGGGAGGCACAGGGGCCAGAGACAGCTGGCCTGGGCTCACAGGAGCTCCCAAACTCTGGACTGACAGCTAGGGAGCTTCCACAGGCCTGCCCTTGTCCTCTGCATGTGTGTGACAGTTATGTATCTTGGTCTCTTTGTAAAAGACCTGTGTCCCTGGAGTTGAGCTGGCTTTTAGGAACCTGTTCCCCACGCTGATTTACCTTCCCCAGCTTTGCTGCAGGGGGAGGAGCTCAGTAGATGTGGCATGCTTTCCGCAGGCCCACGGGAGGTCTACCCCTTCCTGAATGCAGGAGGGTTGAAAAAGGGAAGGGGAACTGTAAAATCAATGGGAAAATGTTTATTATTTTGATTTTTTTTCAAGGCAGGGTTTCTCTATGTATCTTTGGATGTCCTGGAACTCACTCTGTAGACCAGGCTGGCCTTGAACTCAGAGATCCTCCTGCCTCAGCTTCCCAGAGTGCTGAGATTAAAGGCGTGCACCACCAACGCCCAGCTGAAAAAAATGTTTTTTAAAGTGGGCTGGAGAGGTCGCTTAGTAGTTAATAGCACCTACTGCTGTTTCAGGGATCACCCATGTTGGTGGATCACAACTGCCTGTAATTCCAGTTCTGGTGACATCTTTTGCCTCTGGCATCTTCAGGCCTCCACATTCACAGGCACACACATATATGATTTTTTTTTAAAAAAAATCTATATAAAATATGTACATACATACATACATACACTGTGTGTGAACACAGGTACATGTGAAGGTCACAGGACAACTTTGTGGGCCTTTCTGTGGTTTCCAGGAATTGAATTCAGGTCAGTTACAAATACACATGTAGATGGCCAGACATGACTGCCATTGCTTTTCAGTTACACAGGCATTGCTCAAGAGTTCCCTGAGCCTTTTCTCTCTTAATAACCCACTTCAGATGGTGTCCTTCCAAAGACAAATCACAGCAGACATTCCTGAACTGTCTGGTTGTTCCTGGCCCTTATCCAGTGGCCACGCCTACCTTCCAGGGCTTGCTTTTATCCCTGTTCATCCACTATCTATCATTTATTTACTTATTTTGGTTTCCTGAGTCAAGGATTCTCTGTGTAGTTCTGGCCATCTTGGAACTCACCCTGTAGACCAGGCTGTCCTTGAACTCAGGGGTCCTTCAGCCTTTGCCTCCCAAGTGCTGGGATTAAAGGTATGGGTGGGTCACTGTTCCTGGCAGTTCCTCTATCACTGAATCCTTGACCTGGAGGGGATTCGGCCCAGCAGGTAGTCTGACTGTTGAGATCCCAAAGGCACTAGAACAGTGTCCTCTGCATTTAGGACCTGACTAGAGCAGACAGATGGACTTACCAAAGGCTCTGATAGCTCCTGTAACCCTTGGCCAAGAACTTGCCTTGTAAAGAAAGGAAAAGGACGGTAGAGGGCTGAGATAATCATCCCTGTATCCCCAGCACTCTGGTGGCCATGGAAGGGCTGCTGCTACTTCATGGGCAGCCTGTGCTACATAGCAAGTTCTAGAAGTTGGGGCTGGGCGAGAATTCATCTTACAAAAAGAAAAAAGCAAACAAGCCTGTCTGCTTTGGTCCGTTCAGTGCTGGGATGAAAGGGGTGGGTTTACACTCCCGACTGGGATTTTAATTTTGTTTTTATAAAATGTGAATTTTACAGGCTAGAGACAGAGCTCGGTTGGCAGAGTCGGCCTTGCACGAAGGAGGCCTTGCTTTCGATCCCCAGTCCAGAAGGGGATCCCCAGTACAGACTTTTCAGACTGTAAAACACAAATTTAACTACTTTGTCGTGCGACTCCCCCTCATGCCCAAATATGGCACCTTCTCTATGCACGGCCCAGAACACTTCCGCCCTCTTCAGAAGCGCCTTCCGCCCAGCTTTGCGTGATATTAGGCACTACTCACGCCAAGTTACAGTCCAAAGTTACTCGGGCCAGACTCTGAAGGCTGAATACAACTCACCATGGAGCAAGTCCCAGTGGACGAAAAGCTGATCATAGCATTTCTCAGGTAAGAGAATCGGCACCAGCACCCGTTTGAACAGTCCGCCCGCCTCACCCGCCATGTTGGAACGAGCGCTTCCGCCAGGCTGGCGTGCCCCGCCATTGACCCACGCCGCGCATGCGCGCTCGGGACGCCCCGCCTCAGTCTCCCCTTCCTTCGCCACCCTCCCCGCGTCTGAAACCCGGGGTAGGCCTCCTCCTCCGGCTGCCTTCGGTACGCGCCTTCCGTACGCGCCTGGACGCTCGAATTTTAAAGTGTGTCAGAGTTTTACGCCTGCGCGGTTAGGACTTCCGCGCTTTTGTTTATGCTATCAGTTCTGAGAGAAAGCTTTGTCCCTCCGCCTTTCTCTGCCCGTCCTGCGTATGCGCCATCTTGTCTTCTCTCGGTTAACTTTATATTTTAAGTTGAAAAGGAAAAGAGTGCGAGTCGTCAAGATGGCGCTAGTCGGGGCGCTGCAGCTCTCATCTTTTCCTCTTGCTCACTCCGGAGGGAATGGCACCGGAAAGAGGCCAATCTGAGCTGGGCATCCCTCCCAGTCCCCTGCTTTTTCCTCTGGTTCGTCCAGGTGTGGGAAGGTGATTTGGAGCAGAAGCGCGACTTCAGCTACAGGAGAGCAGCCCCTGACTCAACACTCAGCCTCTGCTATGTCTAGGCTGGAACGCTGGGGATGGTTCAGGGGGTACAGGCAAAAGGTTCCCAGTATCTTTTGTTTGGGAAAGGGCACCTAGGGTCACTCCAGGCTGCATTCCACCACCCAATGCCCCGACATCAACTCTCTGTGCTCTCTCTCCCCTTACGGATGTGCCCCTGGCTCTCAGGCTGTGTAGGCACTCCTAACGAGTTCTGCTCCTTGTTCCTGGAGGGGTGGCTTCTGCCACATGTACTTCTCAGCTGTGCTGGGCTCCAGTCCACCAAGAATTTCTATAACCTCACGAGGCTCTTAAAACTGGAATGACAGCCATCCTTTCCAATGGTTGCAGTATGCCCCACTATAAATAGTAGGATTTGCCTGATTAATGTCACAGGCCTTTAATCCCAGCACTTGGAGGCAGAGGCAGGATTTGAGGCCAGCCTGGTCTAGAGTGAGTTCCAGGACAGCCAAGGCTACACGGAAAAACCTGTCTCAAAAAACAAAACAAAATAGTAGAGCTTGTACTTGATTTTGGTACAATAGGTGGCCATCTGACGTTTTCAGAATCTGGATGTGGCACCATCTCCTCGCCCGCTGGTACACAGGCGTCAGGGTGTGTTTGCTGGGCCTAAAGTCTCCCCTAGGCCACTCACTGCCTCAAGGCTAGTGCACTTCTTTGCAGCGGGTTCTTTCTTCCATGAATCTATCCCTGGCTACAATGGACAGGGATTCTTTGCTCGGTAGCCACTGGCATCACCCTTTTTGAAATGAAATTACACATTACTCATATTTTGGCTGTGTTTGTACCTCTACCCAGAGTATCAGGAAGAGGGCAACAGTACGGACTGATCCATTATGTTAAGGGAATGGGTGTCATTGGTCCCAGAAGGGAGGAAGGGAGTCTGGCAGTTTACCAGCACTGTGCCAGACACTGAAGGATGAACCTCTTGAAGGCATTTGGTCACTCTAGTAGTTTCATCCCTTCTGGCCAGCTGTCCCCTAGTGACTCAACCATGGGAAGGCACATGACGAGAAACGCGTGGCTTTTAATCCTGGCAGGGCAAGGTAAGCCAAGGACAAAGATTTCATAAAGTCTTCATCCTCTTTTTGTGATCAGGAGTGGGACACCCATTCATGTTTATTAATCCCCTATTACAGAATCTCTAATTTTGTTCTTAAAGACAAGGAAGAAAAATAACTTTGAGTCAGTTGCAAGTTGAAGAAATGAGGGTGTTCCTTGGTGGCCCAGAGTGGATTGCAGCAAATGCTCAGAGGGGCTGATAGGTTGATTGTCGTCTTCGGGTAATGCAGAAGGCAATAAGCACCAGGGTGAGGAGGCCAAGGAGGACCAGGCCAATGATGAGAGGCAGAAAGAGGGATTGGTCACTGGCGCAGGAGAAACCTGGTAGAAAGATGGGATGGTTAGGGATTGCTGCAGTGGTGGATGGGATAAAGGTGGGAAGGAGGTTGATGAGGAGCGCAACCCCGTAGTTTAGAGCAGTAAGTAAAAGAGGGACTAGGCAGTCTTGTAGAGGAGACTAGGGTATAGAAAGAGCACTCTGGGGAAGAGGTTCCCTGTGCAGCAGGATACTTCGAGGAAGGAAGAGGTACAGAGGTCTTACATGGCCCCAAGTGTCCAGTGTTGGGAAGCTGAGCAGCCTGTAGCCTCAGGGAGAGCAGGTCAAGGTGAACAGCTGGAGAAAGAGCTATGCTTGTATTTCTGCAACAGAAGCTTTGGCCCAGGGGAGCTTGGAGCTCTCGAAGAGATGAATTCTGAGCTGAGAATGTCCATTCTGAAGAAGTTAGTAATAGTCAGTTCAGTCCACTCCCAGCTCCTGATGAGCCTCCCCCCCAGCTAGTGTGGCAAGAGAAAGGGAAGGTTACTCACGTGCTGCCTGTGGGAAGGACACATTGTATTCCAGCGCCATGTAGTTGAGGTAGACTGTGCTCTGCCCCTGCCCTGTGTCCTTGAGATTAACAGAAAGGATCAGAGCAGCAAGGACAGTGGCATCATGTCCACAGAGCAAAGGAGGTGTAGGTATGGGGCATGGAAGAGTTGAGGGTGAAGGCAAAGCTGTCTACCTGTTTGAATCCAAAGGTGAGCTGTCCATAAGGAAATGAGAGAGTAAGGTGGGGACAGGCATGGTCACAATTCCCCTGGACCTTGGTTTTGTTGGGATTCAGTATATCGATGCCCCAGGCCTACAGAAGTGAAAGAATAAGAGTCTGAAATTACCCCAGGACTTACCCCTTGCCCCATTTAAGCCCTACTACCTTAGTTTTACCTTTCCTCCACCCTGGGTTGGGTACAGAATTCGAATTTGAATTTGTGCTTGGAGCTGAGCACAGGGCTGGGAGCCATTAGTCCATGTGTAGTTTCCAAGAGCCCCCTTGGAGCCTGGACTAGGACTCGGAGAGGGTGGAGGTGGTCCAGGGTGAGGGCCGATGGTAATTGCTGGACTTGTAGCAGTGCCGTTGTTCGTAGTGGGATAAACTGTGACATTCCCATGACTGGTGGTCATGGCAGGGTTATGAGTGGAAGCTGTGGGTCCAAAGCTAGTAGTGGTGCTATTACTTGTTGGATGAACTGTGACATTCCTGTGACTGGTGGTGGTGGGTCTATGGCTGGTAGTAGGCCTTGCTGTGCTTTCTGTGGCTGTAGGTGTCACGGTGAAGGATGGCAGGAGAGTAGCGGCTTTCTTGTGAGGACAGTCTTTCCCTGTTCCTTGGGCTTTCAACAAGAGATCGGTTGGCCACCCAGGTACAGGTTCCTGCCCGGCCCTCCCTCCTTCTCTCCCTCCCACACCTCTCAATTCTCCTTACCTACAAGCAGCCCCAGCAAGACTGAGCAAAGCACTTCAAACCTCATAGTAGAGCAGCTCAGGGTTCCAGCTGCGCTGTACCAGTGCCTTCCTCAACCCAGATACTCTGCCTTCTCTTGGAAGAGGAAATGAAAGTTGTACTTCCCTCAACTCAGACAACCCCACCCCCGAACCTGACTCAGACACCTCAGCTCCAGCCACCCATTTTAGTCACTTTCTTCACAATCAAGCTGTGATTGGCAGTGGCTCTTTGAGTGGGAGGTACTAAGTTTTTAGCTGCCACGTGAAAAAAATGAGGCAGTTGACTCATAAAGATCTTACTTAAGCAAAACTTGTTCTACTTGAGTTTACAAGGGAAGCAAAGAAATTAGGAGGCCTTTTCCTAAATGGTTGGGACCCCTGTGTGCCTTGCCTTGAGTTCCAGGGTAGCAAGAGCTACAGGGAAACCCCCACCCTCAAACAACTAAGGGTAGGCAATTAGCATCCACAATGTTAGGCCTCAGTCAGCACTTAAGCAGAACTAGGCTTCACTCACTCCTTGACCCCATCGCTACATTAAGTTCCTCACAGCTGCCATCATGTGATGCTAGTGACTAACCTTTTGTGAAGGGCATTGTACTTTCAGTACAGTAAGTGGATGACTTATTTTTTAAACACCAGCAGGAGGCAACACAGCACAGTAATAATGAACAGGAGGAGCTGATCCACAAGCAGCAGGTGGGAGAGGAGCAAACAAGAAGCCCAAACAGGCAGTTTCCAAGTATTTTATTCAGAATGTTTGTTTCCTGAATCAATAAATACTATACAAAAAAATGTAAAAATGGCTACCATTTTCTCTCCCCTGCTCCCCTCACCTGGGGACAATTCCCTGGACAACTTCATGCAGGGACTCTCCCTGTAGATTTGGTCCAGCAAATGAGGCCAGACATGTATTAGTCCCTTGATTCACTTTTGGAGACTTGGATGGAGTAGTAGCAAAGTCTTTTGAATCAGGTGACTAGGTTAGGGAAATGGATTAGTGTTTTGGGGGTGAGGGAAGGAGACGGCGCCTGGGGCAGAACCTACCCCAAAGAAAAGGGTATCTAATGTTCACGGTTCCTTCTTTTTGCCTCAAAAAGTGACATTTATTCAAAGAGAGAGAGAGAGAGAGAGAGAGAAAAAAAAAAAAAAACAAAAAACAAAAACAAGATGTCCATCCCTTGGCTCCCTTCCCTCCCCCCTCCAGCTGTTCCTTAGCCCCCAAGGACTGAACCCTGGCTAGGGCCAGGTAGCAGGACAGCTCCTCAAATGAGGTCAGCAACATTGAGGGGCATCTCTTCAATGGAGGTGTTGTAGAATGTCTCAATGTCTCGAAGAGTCCTCTTGTCTTCTTCTGTCACCATATTAATAGCCACACCTTTACGCCCAAAGCGACCACCACGACCAATTCTAAGGGGGGAAAAATAATTGAGTGGAAAAGAGGATGACATTTGGATTTCAGCACAATGAGTGTTTGGCATTGCAGATCTTCATTTACCTGTGGATGTAGTTTTCCCTGTTAGTGGGAAGGTCGTAATTGATGACTAAGGAGACCTGCTGCACATCAATGCCTCTGGCCTAGGTCAAGAAAGATCACAGAGCTGTCAGAGGATACAATCTGTCCAAACTGACTGGGCATACATGTAGGCAGCCAAGGCAGGCCAAGGCAACAAGCAAGCACCTCTTGTTCCCTAGAGACCTCAGGTATGCCAGGTTTTCTTCCAAGTTGCTACGTTCCTGAAAGGGGCACTAGTCAGCCCCTTGGAGAGGGAATCACCTTGGACTCGTGACCCCCACCCAGCTTTCCCTAAAACAGGCCTCTACTCACCAACAGGTCAGTTGTAATTAATACTCTGCTAGAACCAGACCGGAACTCCCTCATGATCACATCTCGTTCCTTTTGGTCCATATCTCCATGCTAGAAAACAAGTAGCACATGGCTTCTGGCATTTTATGCTTAAAAGACAAGCACACACAGCTATTTACAAGATTTGAAAAAACTTACCATGGCGGAAACAGTGAAATCCCGGGCATGCATCTTCTCAGTGAGCCAATCCACCTTCCTTCTGGTATTGATAAAGATTACTGCCTGGGTGATAGTCAGGGTTTCGTACAAGTCACACAATGTGTCAAGCTTCCACTCCTGGAGATCCGGAAACATCAGTCAGGGGCTATAACCAACAACTTCCTACCAGGCCCGCCTCCTGCACTGGGCCCCACCTCTCTTTCCACATTGATGTAGAACTGACGGATACCCTCCAGAGTCAACTCTTCCTTCTTTACAAGAATCCGAATGGGGTCTCTCATGAACTTCTTGGTCACCTCAAGGACATCAGAGGGCATTGTAGCAGACAATAAAACTACCTAGTTGGGGGGTAGGGAGAGGAAAAGGATCAGTAACAAGGGTAGCTTGTACTCAACATCACAACCAAGCCATGGGTTATCCTATTACAACTACAGCTTTCCTTACCTGCGTGTTACTGTTAAGCTTTTGGAATATATCATATATCTGGTCCTTGAACCCACGGCTTAACATTTCATCTGCTTCATCCAGTACAAACATCTTGATGTATTTGGGGGCTACAAGGCAGAAAAGATACCAACACATAAGAGAAATGTGAAACATTTAATCAAGTTTCTTGATAAGAGGACAAGGAAAGGGGCAGTCTGCTCTCAGAATATAAGGATTGATCCTTTGCCTAAGGCCTCCCTGCCAGGGTAGGAAATAGCCCTGGTAAGTAGAACACTACCTGGGCTAAGGCAACAGGGAAGCTGGGCTCAGATGACACGCATGGGGTTCATCACAGAGCAACTAATATCATAGGAAAGTGACCCAGCAAGTGTAGAGTAGCACTCACACAGGTATCTCCGGTTAAGCATATCAAACACGCGGCCAGGGGTGCCCACGATGATATGGGGGGCTTCCATCTGCAGCTTCTGCACCTCAGCACGCACATTGGTGCCCCCAATACAGGCATGGCAAGAGGCACCCATGTAGTCTCCTAATGCCATGACCACCTTTTGTATCTGAAGAAAAGATCTAAGTTAGCTTGAGCTGTAACCCCCAAGCTTATTGTTAGTATTTTCCCCTTTATGTGCTGGAACAAACAGCTGCCCATTTACTTAATCTCCTTAAGACACACATCACAAATGAATGGCAGAACCCTTGTTTCTGAACACAGGCAAACTTCAAGTTTTCTATTCTACACACAAACTAGCCCAACCCTTGTGGCTTTAAACTCACAGGCTCCATCACATTCTAAAGCCTGGGATTGAACACAGTGGCATAAGCAACATGTTTATTTATTGTATCCCTGCCACAGAACCCAAGACTTCTTATTCCACCACTGAGCTACACCCTCAGCCCACACACCAAGCAAAACCGATGGATGGATGACCTGGACATACAGGACTCTTAATTCATCGCTTACATCAGCACCCAGATATTATGTTTAAATATTAGTAACCAAGCAGCATCAGGATTTTTGTGCCCTAGGCATGAAACAGCTTTGGCCACCAAGTCAGGCATCAAGCTAGGATGAACAAAGGACTGCCAGCTGCTCTGCCCCTGGCTGATATAAGAACAACACCACCAACAAGGTGTCTCTTTGCCCATTGCCAGGGTTTCTTCATAAAGTAGCTGACCCTGCCAGCTGGACTCCACTTCCCTTTCCATTTTGCCAAAGGAAGTGGTTTTGCTGGTAGAAAAATATTTGATAATTAGCCCAATTAGTCAACAGTTCTGCTACCAACCCATTTACCAATTCTAATTCTAGAAAACGCACTGGACCTGAAACTGGTCAATCAATTAAAGAGGAAAGAAGCCACTCTTACCTGCTGAGCCAACTCACGAGTGGGTGCCAGAACCAAAGCTTGAGTAGCCTTCAGATCTAACTCAATCTGCTGCAGAATTGATATGGCAAATGTAGCTGTTTTCCCAGTCCCAGACTGGGCTTGAGCAATCACATCATATCCTACAATCAGATCAAGAATTACATGTGGTAAAGGTTTATGCACCTTGGGCTCACTGACAGACAATAGGAGAATATAAGCAAAGAGGGGGCCTCAAATTTTTGCCACCCAGATATTGTGACAAAGTTCAGGGTACCAGAACATTATGAACTCATACCACACCCACTTGAGCTAGACACAAAACATTAAAAATAAAAACTGGGAACATCAACTCCTGTTTCCAAGGCATGACCTAGGTACAAGGAGCCAGAAATAACATTGCTCCCCTCTGGTTGCTATGCCCACCACCAAATCAATGTCACTCCAGGTCAGGACACTTTAAATCTATCCTGACAATTCTTACCCTTGATACAAGGTAGAATGGCTCGCTGCTGGATGGCTGAGGGCTTCTCAAAACCATAGGCATAAATACCACGGAGGAGGGATTCTGAGAGATTCATGTCATCAAAGCTATCCACAATCTCATTCCAGTTACTCTGCAGAATATAAAGAAATTAGAATTTAGGAAGACAGCAGTATGTGTTTACAAAAAAGCTGCACAGCCACTCCACCCCAAATCTGCCATCCCATTCTAGACATCCGAGGTCACTGTCACTATAAGAAGGTGCCTGTTTGCGTCAGACATGTACAGCTGGGGATTGAATAGGAGAGCAAACTCATTGACGGGGTAGTAGCAGAATGTTCTTGCCTCACCTCGATGACGCCTTCAGGCTCCATCCCGTCGGGGCCATTGTCTCTGGATCTGTTGATTCAAAGCACTAGTTTTGCTACCTGCTCCAGGAGCACAGAAGCAACCAACCCATTCCCTACTCAATACCCGTTCCTTCCCAATGGGGAAAAAAAAAAAAAAAAAGAAAATCAAGAGGCATTTTTAGGGTGACCCTTCTGTTAATAAACACGAGGGCGAAAAGCAATCTTTGCTGCCAGACCCACATGTTGTGGTCTTGACCGATCAAAGCGTGTGCACCTCCTCCCCAGTACCAAGGCCACCGGAAGTCCCGCCCTTCACCTCGGAGCTCCGAGGGTGGGCCGTCCCCTTCCCCCCACGTCACGCCGCCCGCTCCCTCCCCCACTCCCTCCGCCAGCCCCCCCCCAGTACCCGGATGTGGGAGGCCGCGGGCGGTGGCGGCC